CAGACTAGAGGGCATCACATTCCAAAAAATAATTTACCCAACAGACTGGTGTAGCTGTAACGCTGTAGACTTCGAATCTTGGCCGAAACACTGTCGTGACAGATTATTTTAGTGGTTTGTCTCGGCCGCACCAGACAAATTCCTGGATTGCACCTCGATTACGTCACAACCACTTCGCCCAAACCCTTTCCAATTCGTCATTCATCAGTCATCGTACAGGTTGATGTAAGATATGAAGCTTTCGCGCCTGCTGAAGTTGATAAAATCCTTTCGGGCTATCAGCCTTGTCTCTTGATTAAAAATTACCGACATTTCAGGGGCCATCTCTGTCCCTGTCGTACCCTAACGATGAGCACAGCAATGGTTCCTGAAACGTCTGTAATTTTTCATAATTTTTTTATTGCTAGTGGGGTGGGACTAAGTCCCTTGTACTGCGGCCACTTCTGGCCTATTGTACCAGCCCCAGATGATAGGTGAGTGTGATTGTGGAGCAATTGGTGGAATGAAGATTGGCAAGGGAAACCGAAGTACACGGAGAAAACCTGCCCCAACGCCACTTTGTCCACCACAAATGCCACTTGAACAGACCCCGGGATCGAACCCGGGTCGCCGCGGTGGGAAGCCAGCGACTAACCGCTTGAGCTATGGCGCGGCCAATATTTAATTAACTGACACGGCTCACATACCCCTAGAAGATGTTGATGCCATACGTTTTAGATAGTGCCAGCGTTTTAAAACGAACCACAGACCCAGAAGACAATGATCCTGAAGCGCGGGATTACACGTGATGTTGGAAGGACTGCGTCCCGCGTCCAAAAAGTCGAAACCTCCGTTTATTTACGCTCCGCATAATGCTACTTGCTTACGTCTCTTTATCAAGTGGCTACAGACATCCTAGATTAGGTTATCAGATCTCGATGGTGCCATAGAATATGTGATCTTGACATTGGAGAAAGCGCAGTGTTGATGGGTCACCTGCTTTGCGTCTGCGGGTCCGGTGTTGCCCCGAGCACTTCAGTATTCTTATACGGAAACTTTCCTTTAGCTCTGGCAAGTTTACTTCCTCCGGGTACACTGTCTGCTGCTACAGGTTGCAATGATCTCATTTCGTTTGCGGTTTGTTTCAAGTCATTCGTATGTGAAAGTTGTCCTGTGTAAGAGGACCATCAGTTTCTCCAGTACCGAGCATCAAGGATGTAAGTGAAAATTGATAAGTAGTTTAGTGAAGTGAAGCTTCTATTTTCGTGAGGGACGAATATATTATCGCGACATAGGGTGACTCTATAGGGGTCTGGATAGGTAATTGCATTTGTTGAAAATTTATATACAACTAGTTAATACAAGTAATTATGACGCTATCACTGATCTACACACTTTGCAAATCACACACGTAAAGTCTTCTCACAGTCTGCTTTCACTAGTCGTTTCCTGGTAACGGATCTTAACAATGGAGATTCTTCAGCTTCTGTGCTCACGTCATTGCCCGCTGGCTAATACTCCTGCCCTACTTAGAACATCACGGCACGAACCGCGTAGGAAACACCATTTCCAACAGTTCCTGTATTGGTGCAGGTGGTTTCGTTGCCGTCGGAACATGTTTGTTTGTGAAGGTGTTACTCAGTAACGGCTGCATGTATTTGCTTATTATTAAGAATATTTCCTAGCAGCGAGCGTTGTTTCGTTGTTTGTTTCGCGGTCGTTACCAAGCAACGGATCTCTGCATGCTGCAGTATATTGAGAGTGTTTGAGAACAGGGTGCTGAGGAGGAAACTTGGACATAAGAGGGGGAACCAATAGGATACTGGAGGCAGTTGCGGGATGAGCTGCATACGAGGGGCTACCCAAAAGAAACCGAACTTATTTTTTTTAACTTATTTATTCAAATTTTAAGCACAAACCTTCAATCCCCTTCAAAGTACTCTCCACTTACACTAATACACTTGTCTAGTCTTTTATTCCATTTTTCAAAACATTGTCTAAATTCATCTTTTGAGATGCTTGACAGCGCCTCCGTCGTTTTTCCCTTTCATGTCTCTTTTCATTCGAGGAAACAAAAAAAAGTAGCACGGGGCAAGGTCGGGTGAGTATGGAGGGTGAGGAACAGGGGTCATACCATTTTNTTTTTTCAACATTTTCATGTGTTCGGGCCGTGGAAGGACTACCAGAACGAGGTTTGTCATCAATTGACATTTCACCATTTTTGAAACGGGAAAACCACTCAAACACTTTAGTTTTCCCCATAGCATCGTCCTTGTACGCCGTTTTTAACATTTCAAGAGTTTCTGTTCCACTTTTCACTAGCAAAGAGCAGAATTTCACCGCCGCACGCTGTTCACGAAAATCAGCCATTGCAAAAACGACGATCACGCAAAACAGTTGTCACTATAAACTCTGCCGAAACTAGTCCTTACCTTCTGAAGCAACGGTAGTCGGCTTATCGACTCAGGAATGTTAGCTCTATGCGCTCATAGCGGCAAAACGCGGTACTACAAAAGCTCTGCCCACAAAAAAATTAGTTCGGTTTCTTTTGGGTACCCCATCGTAATGTGTAGCCATCATCAAATATTATTTATATGATCAAATGAAGGAAAATGTAATGAGCAGGCGAAGCCCTTACACAATTTTAGTCGGAATATTGAAAAGACCACGTGGGAACACTTGGCCTAGAATGCAGCATAACATTTAGTGCATGATAACTTAAAGCCTTCGCCGAATACAAGTAGATTGATCAAATCAAGAAGGATGAAGTCAGTTACTCTGAAGCCATCAGAGAGTAAAATTAGGTCATGGATCCCGTGGGACTCAGAATCAAGAATAACTGGGCTGGCGAGGACCAACAACAATACAGCAGTCAGTCAATCAAAGGGGACGAGATGGACATGGCATGTAAGACACATCGGGAGAAGAGCAATGCATACGTGGTTTTGGTGGGAAAGGCAGAGGGAAAGAGGCTACTAGGAATACCTAAACGTAAATGGGAGGATAATATTTTTTTTTAATTCGCTTAGTGGGGAGTGGAGTCCAGCTGGGTTCACTCGGCACGGCGCCCACTGATTGGCCTATTGTACCTGCCCCGGGTGATTATGATGATGGGGAATTTTGTGGAATGAAGATTGGCAGGGGAAACCGAAATATTCGGAGAAACCCCGCCCCAGCGCCACATTGTCCACCACAGATCCCACTTGACCAGACCCTGGATCGAACCTGAGCCGGCACGATGGGAATCTAGCGACTAACCGCTTGAGCAATGGCGCGGCCTGGAATAATATTAAGGTGGATCTCAGAGAAATAGGGTGGAATGGTATGGATTGGATTCATCTGAACCAGGATAGGGGCCAATGAAGGGATCTTGTGAACACGGTAATGAACCTTCGGGTTGAATAAAATGTTAGGAAATTATCGAGTCTCTCAGCGACTGGCATCTTCTCAAGAAGGAATAGTTAATTAACTGAGATGTGAGGATATATAGTGAATTCCTTTGGCTCAGGATAGATAGCAGTGACGTATTGTTGTGACTGCAGTAATTAATATTTGGGTTCTATAAGAGGTGTGGTCTTTCTTCACCAGTTGAGCGACTGTCAGGTTTTCAAGAAGGACACCGTCCCATAGGGTTCATATGACTTCAATTGTGAATCTACACTTAATATTATCCATAGGCAATTAGCGCCACTCATGTTCTGCAGGCCTCGAACCCGTGACTCAGTTTTCGGGGTTGCGGGACGCATGACTGGTTGACCGTGAGGTCGGAGTGGGCAGTTCCGGTCTGTCACTAGACTGCAATGATTGCAGCCTTGGGTCTGCTTGAACAATATCCGCAATTATGTAACTCATTGTGTGGTGAGGAGCGAGCGGTCCCCCAGAGCTGTATTCTGTGCTGACTGTAGAGCAGGTTCGTGTATTCAGCTGTGGTTTATTTAACGACGCTCTTAGTAACTCAGAATATATGGCGTCGGATGATGGGGTGTTAGTGAATAATGAATTGCAAATGACATGGAAGGAATCGGTCGTTGCGTAGTTGAAAGACTATGCCGGAATTTGCTTGTAGTAAGAAAGCCACGAATAATATTAATCAGAATAATCGGTTACACTGTAGAGATTCGATCCCTACTCTTCTTGAATATTTCAGAAGCATTGCCCCTTAAGCGAACCTGCTCGGTAGCTCGCATGGGAGAGAAGAAAAAGCATGAAAACTTTGGGAGGAAAGACCGAACCGCTTGGGAGATGTAGGCGAAGATGGGAGGATAATGTTAAAATAGACCTTTAAGAAATATGGTAGTAGGATGTGGACTGGATTCATGTTGCCCAGGGTGGGAACCATGGACGGAGTTTTGTGAACGTGTTAATGAACACTAGTAGTTCATAAAATGTTGGTAATTTCTTGATTATCTGTGCACCTGTTAGCTTCTCAGCAAGAACTCTGTTGCGTGCAGTAAATAATATTTCAGTAGAACTAGAATGTGTGTAAATAATGGGTATTGGTCTATATTTCAGAATTTAAATATTCAGAAACGAACTTCATATTTTGCTCGCGTGGTTTAGTGACTGTTACTCAGATGGATATTTTATGTGTAGGTCTGAATAGCGTTTCTCCGTACCGGTGACGTAGATGAGAGTTATAACATTCCCATAGCTAAAGCAGTTAGTCGCTGGCTTCCCACCGCCACTGCCTGGGTTCGATCCCGGATCTGGTCAAGTGGGATTTGTGGTGGACAAAGTGGCGCTGGGGCAGGTTTTCTCCGAGCACTTCGGTTTCCTCTGCAAATCTTCATTCCTTCAATTGCTCCACAATCACCCTCACCTATCATCTGGGGCTGGTACAATAGGCTAGAAGTGGCCGCAGTACAAGGGACTTAGTCCCACTCCACTAGCAATAAAAAAAATACATGTGTATGTTCTTCCAGAATTATGTACTGCTCCAGCACGACCTAGCATGGTACTTGTTCTGCCAACTGTTCGATATCATTTTTCTGTTCTAACAGATAATTTTGTTTCTTCTGCAGCTTGACCGTGCATACGACCAGATCATTCTTCCCTTGGAGAACTTTCGCAAAGAACACATCGGTGGAGTGAAGGTCAGTTTGCACTTGCCTATCAGTAACTATTTTAGTTTTTATATTCGTACATAAAGACAAAGTTGCGTATGATATCGTATCCGTCTACCCCACCCGATAACTTCTGAACCAGTCGACGAATTTTAACCATTTAAAGCCCAGTGGTGAGGAGCGGGGATGGCATGGTCGGTATAGCGACTAGCTACGGGCTGAACGACCAAGTGGTCGGATTTCGAGTCCCGGTCTGGTCAAGAATTTTCTCTTCTTCACGTCGTCCTGACCGGCTTTGGGGTCCACCCACCTCCTATCCAATGGGTAATATACCCGTTTGTGTCTGTGTGTGTTTTTTAGAGACATTCCGTTTTGTGTGGAGATCAATGATGAACGTATTAAAAATTCTTTACGCAACATTTTTATGCGCGTGAACTACTACAAACATGGCGACGATGCCAATTTTCGATACTATATCGGGTAAGTATAATTTAATCGTTTAAAAGCTTCCCCCAAATCGTTCAGCCGCCACGTGGAAAAGTCGTCTTCTTTATCTTCTCGTCATTCTTCTGCTGTTCCAGCATCTCTTTTCCTTCTCTTCCTCGACTTTTTTTTATGGTTTTAATTTTTCTTTTTGTCGTCTGTATTTTCGCCTTTCTCCATCTTCGTATACTGATCGACACAGTTGAGCGTTTGTGTCTAAAGGGGTTTGAGTATAATGCCGGAACTTTGCTAGCGGTGACTGAGGAAAATCACTTCCTTAAGTCGGAAGAGTCCGGAACTCAGTCTAGTTTCGAGCCGGTTATCTCTGAAATCCAAGTCTAGAGCTTTCTTATCAAGGTTTTCAGTTGAAGTCTGAAGAAGGCATTAGTGGCCATGGTTGAAAAATACTCTCTTGTACTGTGTCTAAACATCTTCGAGAGTGTGTCATTATCGGGTAGTGACGTAGATCGTTGCGTCGCCATTTGCAAGTTACTAGACTGCATTTTGAAGATACGATAAAAGGCAAAAAGAAAGGTAAAGCTACCGCAGTCGGTATAGCGACTGGCTACGGCCTGGGCGACCGAGGGGTCGGAATTCGAGTCCCGGTAGGGTCAAGAATTTTCTCCAATCGTCCAGACCGGCTTTGGGGTCCACCCAACCTCCTATAGAATGGATACCGGGAGCTCTTTCCCGGGGTAAAGTGGCCGGGGCCTGAAGCTGACCATTAACCAACTAGTGCCGAGGTCAAGAAAATGTGGATCTATACATCCATTCCCGCATGCGTCTTCATGGCCTAGTTCTTAATTAGGGACAACTTTACCTTTATCCCTGTAAGAGACCATGGAGGCCCATAGGGTTTCGAGACGTCGAGACTCCCACATTTTCTCTTAAGCACTCAGCTCACAGATGGCGGTGAAGTTGTCAGCTTTACGGTATGGCCGCCCTTTACCCCTCTGGAAGATACCTGGTATTCATTTCTGTTACAGGCTGAGTCGACCCAAGGGCAAGGGCCAAGGGCTGGAAGGATTAGGTAAATTGAAGAAATCCACTTCATCAGGATTCGAACCCGCGACCTTCCGGATTGTAGCATAGTGCCTCAACCAACTACGCTCCCGCGTGCCCCTTTGCAGATACGATTGGAGCCAAAGTCGCCGTGCCGGAGGTCTCGTTGGACACAAAGAACCTTGTTCCGTAAAGTCGCCTAGTCAGGAGTAGACGTAGTATATAGAGCATGTAGCCTAATGAGATGGTACGAATGTGGCAAAAACATGGCACACAAAGACGAATAGTCCCGGAACTTCAGTAACTGTTTTTATATACGTAGGCCGTATGACTTCTCCCTTTACATTTAACTCTGAGTCTCGGAACTGTGTTCATTATGCATTTGAGTGAATGAATTTCAAGATTGTTTTATTACAGGAAGGCAAGAAGAAGTTCGAGAAACAGACGGCGAAGTTTTGTCTGAGTCAGGAACGCTATCTGAATCTCTCGACCAAGAAACAAGACGCGGTTCTCAAAGAGGTGAGTACGCCAGCGGATATGTTCCTATCGCGTCCCCGAAAATTCTGACATTGAATTCTTATTTGTTCTTTACCACTGAAATATGTATGGAAATGAACGTGTTATTTACGTGATACAGATAGTTGTCCTATACAAAGAAACTTCTTATGTTCAGTATTTCGAATATCTACAGCAGCATATTATTAACTCCGTGGCTTTTAGACCGCAAGCAAACTATACCTACCGAGCGCCCGCCGCTTGTCGGCGAAGTTAGTGCTAAATTTTTTTCGGATAGAGGGTGTCGCGTGGTCAGCGTAACGGATTCACACGGCCTTTGATCTCGGCTTTCTAAAAAACCGGATCCGCTACTTTTCCATTCAAGTAGCTCCTTAATTATCGTCACGAGGCTGAGTCTACACCGTTCCAGAGCCACTACTTCTCAGAAAATATGGTTTCACTTCGGTTTCTTAATCATAAACAGTCGATAGGGCTCCTTGGACAGGGGATCAGTTCGACGCAAGACCTCTCCGTACAAAGGACAACACAAACAATAAACGCAGACAGACATCCATGCCTTGAGTCGGATTCGAACCCACGATCCTAGTGTTCGAGCGGGTGAAGACAATTCATGCATTAGACCTTGCCGCCACTGTGATCCTCACTTTGGCAGTAGAACGCCCTTATTCCCCGGGCGTCAACTTATGATGGATAAACTTATGATCTTATCTGTGTATCTGCCTATAAGAAAGAGTTTGTTTGTTTGCTCGTTGTACACTTCAGCACCGTTGCACCTATTATACGTAGGTAAATCAGTAAGTAAGTTACAAGTGGATATACAACTTAAATAAGAGTACTAATTTGAAAAATGCTTCTATTTCTCAACATAATCTCCCTGTACATTGAGGCACTTGTCCATCGTTTCACAAGCCTCTGAAAACCAGCAGCATAAAATTCTTTGGGCTGCTGTCGGAACCAGGCGGTGACTTCCCTTTCTACAGCTTTCTACAGTATCACTTTCCTGGAGGATGGTGTCACCTTAAACTTTTCTTTTGGGCAGGCGACGCAGGATGTTTCCACTTCATTGACGCACGCTTTGTCTCGGGCTGGTAATGATGAATCCAAGACTCATCACCTGTGACAATTCGGGCTAGGATATCGTGTCCTTCATCGTGGTAGCGATTGAGATGCTGTAATGCCAGACCCATTCTTTGCATTTTGTGTTGTGGGGTCAGCATGCGCGGCACCCATCGTGCACAGACTTTGTGAAAAACTAACCTGTCATGCGACTTCCATTTGCTCGGCCCTCTTAAACATCATCTTTCGGCTGAACATTTTCCCGACGATGAAGCTGTAGAAAGGGAAGTCACCGCCTGGTTCCGACAGCAGCCCAAACAATTTTTGCTGGTTTTCAGGGGCTTGTGAAACAATGGGACAAGTGCCTCGGTGTACAGGGAGATTGTGTTGAGAAATAAAAGCATTTTTCAAATCAGTACTCTTATTTGTTTTAGTTCTATATCCATTTGTAACTTACTTATTGACTTACCCTCGTATTTCGGCCAAATTATGCTTGATGATAGAAGATCTGTATGGAGGTTATGAAAACCCCTCAAAATTTTAAAAACTCCACAAAAAGTTCTATGATTATTGCTTGGGAACCTTTCGTCCTAGTGTATTGATTTTGTAATAGATATTAGAAAAACAAAATAAAAGACCACGCTCGCTCTGTATGTCTATCAGTTATAGTTTCTGAGATATGTAACTTTCAGTTTTCCAAAAAGAATACAAATTTTCAAAAATTCGCAAAAGGCGAGGATTTTCATTGTAACTGATTAGTTAATTTCCTTACAGTTCTGCTACTTTATACCTGTATCTTGAAGATCAGCACTGTAACTTTTCAGTGTAATCATACGTGTGCATTATACCCACGTAGGGCCCGATGGATCAACTAGTTCCGAATATTAGCGAAGCTGTTCGGACTCTAGCATGGTGCATGCATGCAGTCAGAGACATCGTTCCAAAAACTACATTTTCGTTTTCAGGGCTGCTGAAAAGAAGTGTCAATCCTTAAAAATTTCAAGATCAACTTTTTCACGTTACTTTCGCTTACTGTGTGTATGAGAACGTAGAAAAAAATTAAAGACTGCAGTTGTGAGGTTATATTTAACATGTGTAATAACTTGTTCTGTGAAGAGTTATAGTCTATGACAACATTTCTACTGTGAGTATACTTAATGCGATATGAACACGCCATTTTGTATGATAAGTTTGGAACCTTTGCATACTCTGCAGTGTTTTCGCGACAGCAAGAAACAAACTTGACTTAAATTGTAATATGATTACTTGATGATTTTAAATTAATTTTTGTTAATTCGCTTAGTGCGGGCTGTAGTCCAGCTGGGTCCACTCGGCACGGCGGCCGCTGATTGGCCTATTGTATTTGCCCCAGGTGATTATGATGATGGAGAATTTGCTGGAATGAAGATTGGCAGGGGAAACCGAAGAACTCGGAGAAACCCTACCCCAAAGCCACTTTGTCCACCACAAATCCCGCTTGACCAGACCCGGTCTCGAACCCGGGCCGCCTTGGTGGGAAGCCAGCAACTAACCGCCTGAGCTATTAATTATTTAAAATCTGGTACACTAGTTCCAAAAATGACATTAAAAATTGTAGCACATACATTTTTTTCTAATATATATCATTTTGTATGCAAGATATATGAACGTACGTATCTCCCGTTACTCGGTTAGAAATGATGCTGTTATATAAGTAAGTATAAAATATTATTTACAAGTTATTTTCTCACTTGCGGGACAGAAATTATAAGAACATAAGAAATATAATAGTTAATAGTTAGGCTGTTTTGGCTCAAAATTCAAGTACGAGTACATAGATCCATGGGATGGAAAATATTTGTGTCCAGGTTTGGAATCAGCGTGTTAAAATTAAATTTAAAAAATTACCTTTTAGGTTGTTCTAATGTACCGCTTCTGTGATCTAGTGGTCACAGTTCCTGGCTGCAGATCCAGAGGTCCGGGTTCCATTCCCGGCGCTGCCTGACATTCTGAGTAGTAGTGGGTCTGGAACGGGGTCCCCCCAGCCTCGTGAGGAGTTATTTCATGGAAATGGCGGTTCCGGTCTAGAAAACCGAATTTAACGGCCGTGGCGATTCGTTGCGCTGACCACGCGACACCCTCTATCTGCTAAAGTTGGCACTAACTTCGCCGACAAACGGCGGTCGCTCGGTCGGTATAGTTCGCTTGCGGATTAAAACCACGGAGGGTTTTTTTTTGTTTTGTTTGTTGTCCGAATGATGTTTACTAATGCAGTTACATTTCACATACACGTAAGATGACCTGAACAGTTGCTGCAATTTCGAAAGATAATCGGACAACCGATATAAGTTGTTGAAATTATTTTGAAATATCCCAGAAATAGATGCCGCTTAGTGTGTCTGTGGTTTAAATGGCTCTGTCAACAGCCATTGAATCCGTTTAGACTTACGGAGAGGGTGTTAAACACCTTTTTACAATAGAAACTGCAGATACGCTTTTCAGAGTGCCGCTAAAGAAGCACAATTCATTTGTGCCATGTCGGCTGTTTGCTGCGTATCGGATCCATATGTAATTATCTTATACTGAAAGCAGTCTCATGTTCTGTACATAAATAAATAAAAAAGTCAGTCTGGTACGCCATTTGGGTTTTTATTACGACCGTGGCACAAAATAGAAGTGACTCATTTGATGGGTTCTAAATGACGCATTGAATTCCTCCCAAATGTTCAGCAGTGGTGTAATATGGGAAAATTGGGCAGCCTTTTAGGTTCTGCATAGTTCGTAGGTGTTGCCATTCCAGAGCTTTTCTCAATATCAGCGTTCTTTATGTAAATGCAACTCCCAAGATATTTTTCTCCGACTCGAATACCTAGAGAAGAGACCTATCCCCATATTGTGTTTAATTCATTAAATAGACCTTCACACGGATTTAAGCGAATGTAACTTACATATTCTGATAAACGTCGCCCTGTAATCAAAATGCCATTTTTCAAGTTTAGCAATGAACTGCCAAGAAAGTCTGAAAAGTGAATGTCAGTAAACGAAACTTACCAATCATGGAGGATAGAATTATTAGCAAGTGTGTGCGCCCCCCCCCCCACCAGACCTAAACCCCTGTGATTTTTATTTATGACGAAAACTTAACAATTTTGTGTGTATCAACAATCCACATGACCTGGAGGCTTTAAAACAGAATATACATGAAGCAATTTGCAACATTCAGCAACGTGAATTGCAACAAGTTTCCCGAAATCTGTTTAGAAAAATTCAGACATGTCTCACAGCAGAGGACAGACATTTTGAGCATATTCTGTGATGGTGAGTGAGTACAATATTAATTACTATATTTGATTAATAATTAACGAAAGAAGTAAACAGTGTGTGCTAGTAGTTCCGGGCATGCGGCGGCATTTTTCTCGGCAAGTGGCGCATCACTTTCGCGCGAAGTTGCCGACGGTAAAATCAATGTCCAGTCAGCCTGCGCTCTGAACCCGGTATACACACGTTGTCTTTATGTTATGTAGTTCTCACAGTTATCGAGACTCTAAACTGAAAGATAAAAATATGACTCATTTTGCTATTTCATGGTAGAAATGAAGCTTGAGAAGGGTAAAAAATTTTTAATTTTTTTCGTTGAATTTCTACGATGTTTTCTACAAGTAGGCCTTTTCATGTAATAAAAATGTCATATCTGCTTTAATCAACATTAAAAAAACGTAAAGCTATCCCTGTAACATGACATGGAGGTCTTCAGGGTTATGAGACGTTGAGGGTCCCACAGTATCTAGACAGTCAGCTCACAGATGGCGGTAAACTTGTCAGCCTTACACGCCGGCCACCCTTTACCCCCCCCCCAGGAAGATTCCTGGTACTCATTTCTGTTAGAGGCTGAGTCGAACCCAGGGCCATAGTGCGGCTGGAAGGATTAGGTCAATTGAAAAATCCACCTCATCGGGACTCGAACCCGC